AAGGGCATACTGGATGCCGTATGATGTCACACTCAGTATATAACTGGAGGAGTTGGCCCTGGGGAGGAGGGATCACAGCTCAGGAATGGGCTGAACGTTTGGCTCCAGGTGGTGAGAAATTGCATTATGCACCACTCCCTTATACCTCCTTTCATTAATTTTATTGTTATTGTTATTTATTCTCTCCTTATGTTGTCCTGTTAAACTGTCCTTATCTCAACCCACAAGGTTTCATCTTTTTTCTTCCAATTTCCCCATACCGCCTGGTGGGGAGGAGTGATTGAGCGGCCATGTGGTGTTGACTGGGTCTAAACTATGCCAGTCATTTTTCACACCCAAAGTGAGGTTCAAGGGGTTGAGATAATGACAAAACCACCCAAAGCATGTTAAAACCAGATTTGTTATAAGAGTTTCTTAGTTAGGTAGTCACTGGTCACAATGTTGGTTCAGTTGTTCTCCTGGTGGTGATTTATAAGTTCTTAGAGGCACTATATATTCCCTGTGGTGATGTTTATCACCTCTGGCAGAGAGATCAGGACTATCGCTTCACCCTGGTGGTTAATGTCGACCTACAATACATCATTGGTCATGAGGTTAAGCTAGTGTTTGTACATTGCTGTCATGCCTGTACCTCGGGCGCCTTCTCTTGGAATTTATTAGTAAGTGCACCCAATCTGTGGGGAAGGCAAGGAGTGACACACTTTCCTGCTCTTCCACTTCTTCTTTCTCCTTCCAGCTAATTAAAACACCTTTTGAGAATTCTGAATGTCCTTGAGTTGTTCAAGCCATCAGGTTCTTACTGCTATATCTCCTGAATGCGTCTCTGGTCTTGTTTAGGGTCACACAGATGTTAGGGTCACACAGATGTTAAGGTCACACAGACATAGAATGTTAGGGGTTGGAAAAGACCTTGAAAGATCACCTATTCCAACTCCCCTGTCAGAGGAGGATTCCCTAGAGTAGGTCACAGCAGAATGCGTGCAGGTGGATTTTGAATGTCTTCAGAGAAGGAGATCCTCTAGTCCTTGTAGTATTTGTTACTCACTTTTTGTAGACATGACCTTCCAAGGTCCTTTCCAACGCCTAACGTTCTGTGATTCTGTGATACAGTCAGGCGAAGGAAGGGGACAGCCAGGTGCATTTACTGTGTGGATCTAATGCCCTGGCACGTGAGACTCACAGGAGTACAAGGCTCTAGTGGACACCGGTGCACAACATACCCTGGTGCCATCAAGCTGGAAAGGGGCAGAACCCATCCATATTTCTGGAGTTGCAGAAGGATCCCAACAGCCAACCGCATTGGAGGCTGAAGTGAGTCTAACTGGGTATGAGTGTCAAAAGCAGCCCATCACGACTGGCTCAGAAGCTCCCTGTATCCTTGGCATGGGCTGTCTCTGGAGAGGGTGTTTCAAGGACCCAAACCGGTACAGGTGGGATTTTTGGTATAGCTGCCTTGGAGATGGAGGAAATAAAAAAACATCTACCTTGTCTGGTCTCTCAGAGGACCCTTCTGTTGTGAGGTTGCTGAGGGCTGAGGAACAACAGGTGCCAACCACTATCATGATGGTGCATCGACAACAATATCGTATCAACTGAGACTCCGTGGTTCCCACCCATAAGGTGATCCATCAACTAGAGAGCCAAGGAGCGATCAGCAAGACTTGCTCATCCTTTAACAGCCCTATATGGCCAGTGAGAAAATCTAATAGAGAATGCAGACTAACAGTAGACTACCGTGGCCTGAATTAAGCTACACCACCAATGAGTGCTGCTGTGCTGGACATCTTAGAATTTCAGCACAAACTGGAGTCAGAGGCAGCTAAGTGCTATGGCACAATTGACATTACTAATGTCTTCTTCTCTGTTTCTATAGCGGCAGAACGCAGGCTGCAATTTGCTTTTACCTGGGAAAGTGTCCTGGACGCCTGGAATCAACTGCCCCAGGGGGGAAACACAGCCCTACCACCTGCCATGGACTGATCCTGACTGCATTGGAGAAGGGTGGAGCTCCAGAACACCTGTGATACATTGTGTGGGGCAATACACCAGAAGTCTTTGAGAAAGGCAAGGAAACTGTTCAAATCCTTCTGAAAGCCAGTTTTGCCATAAAATGAAGTAAAGGTCAGGTGACCTGCACCAGAAATCTAGTTTTTAGGAATAAAATGGCAAGACGGGCATTGTCAGATCCCAATGGTTGTGATCAACAAGATAGCAGCTCTCTCTCCACTGACTAACAGAAAGGAAACACAAGTTTTCTTGGGTGTTGTGGGTTTTTGGAGAATGCATATTCCAAAGTACAGACGGATTATAAGCCCTCTCTAGCAAGTGATGTGGAAGAAGAATGATTTTAAATGGGGCCCTGAGAAGTGACAAGCCTTTGAACAGTTAAACAGGAAATCATTTGTGCAGTATACCTCGGGCCAGTCCAGGCAGGAAAAAATGTTAAAAATGTGCTTTACAGTGCAGCTGAGAAGAATGGCCATAGCTGGAGCCCATGGCAGAAAACAGCAGGGGAAACTTGAGGTCAGGGTTATAGAACAGGAGATAGAGAGGATCTGAGGCCTGCTATACTCCAGCTGAAAAAGGAGCCCATACGAAGGAGTCCACGCTGCCTCGGAAGCGGTTGGTACTGAAGCACAGCTCCTCCCGGCACCCTGGCTGCTGGTGCTAGGCTGGGTGTCCAAAGACACGAAAGTCTCCTTTATGCATCATTCCACTGATGTCACATTTTACCTTTTTCTTCTGATTCTCCTCCCCATCCCATGGGGCGGAGGGAAGGGGTGAGCAAGCAGCTGCCTGGTGCTTAGTTGTCATCAGGGCTTAAACCCCAAGAGGAGCATAGGCAGGATGCTGCCCACATCATAGAATCATAGAATGGCCTAGGCTGGAAGGGACCTTAGAGATCATCTAGTCCAACCTCCCTGTCATGGGCAGGGACGCCACCTCTTGACTAGACCAGGCAACACATGGGGACCGAGCGGGAATCGAACCCGCGACCTCGGTGTTGTCATTGTTGTCAGCACCGCGCTCAAACCACTGAGCTAACAGACCCCCCCATTGTTAGTGTAAGGAAGGATTCTTTCAAATCAGAGTGCTGTTGCTGGAGCCAACAGGTGACACGACTCTAATCCACACTCAGGGGGCTTTTACACAACTGAGTGTTGCTGCCTGATGCCCTGGACACCAAATGACCTCCACAGTCCTGGCCTCAAAGGGAAAGGGACCTGCAGCCTCTTAGCCACTCCCACACACAGCCCTGTCCCTCCAGTCCTGCGTGGCTTCACTCCAGCACTTCGGACACAAGTGCTTCTGGAGGAACAGGCACTTGTAGCATGTATCCCCTAGACATTTGCCAGGGATATAGCCCAAGGAAGCCTTGCCTCGCCTTACAGCATTTCATAGAATCATAGAATCACAGAATGGCCTAGGCTGGAAGGGACCCTAGAGATCATCTTGTCCAACCTCGCTGTCACGGGCAGGGATGTTATTTGGAAAATTCCAGCCATTGTGTGGCCTCTAGAGGACGAGGCACTTCCCCAGGCCCGTCAGCCCAGAACTGACAGAGAGCTTGTGCCTGGTGCAGCTGGGACAACAGCACTTCATATCTGCCCCATTGCCTGAGGGGGCAGACAGGCTCTGGCTACATGGTGATCCTCAGTGCTCTGCAGTGGGGAGTCCTCCCTAAAGCAGCTTGTCCTTCCCCACACCCGCCCACACACAGGCAGGGAGATTGCAGGTGAGCGGCGCTGCCTCTGCTGGGACACGCCAGGGCTGCCTGGAACCCTTGACGCTGCCCCGGCAGCGCCTGCAGCAGGGTGCGTTCGGCACAGCCGGTCCCCTGGCACCGCAGGAGCATCTCCAAGGCTCTGCCCAGCCCTGGGGTGCCAGGCTGCACGGGCTGTACCTGCCCACTCTGTCAGACCAGCTGCCACGGGGGCAGTGTCCAAATGGCAAGTGCAAACACAGCGCAGGATCCTGGGAGCTGTTGAGAGTTGAGGCTGGGCCGGCCACTGAACACTGACAAATGTTCTCTAACCTCTCTCCCTTCCCAAATGGGAAGCGAAAGGGAAATAAAGCAAAGAGATCCGTGGATTGGAAAAGAAAATTAAAACAGCTTTAATAAAGCAATAATAGTACCAATAGGAAAATAATGAAAATAATGAAATATATACAAATATACACAAACTCAATATTGAACCCAACTACCCCCTGATAGCAATCACCATTGATGTGCAGACCAAGTGGCACTGGGGAAGCCTCAGGCTCAGCGGCAGGTAGGAGCTGGGTACAGGGAGCTGGATTTGGAAAATCAGGATCAAATGGCTAAAGATTGGATGGAGCGTGTATTCACATAACGTTAGGTCCCGATATGATACTTTCTGCACCCAGCAGGACAGCCCCACTTGCCTCAAAAGGGCCAGCATTTTCCTTGCTAGGGGCTGCCATGGGAAAACCAGCACAGGAGATTATTGCTAAGGCAGCTCACAGTTATCAGGCTGAAAAAGAAGAGACAGAGCCTGAAGCATTTCAAACACAGCAGCTCCTGTTCGCATGAGAACATCTTGCTGCGCTGTTCGCTAAGGGCAGGGCCATGCATGCAGGTGGTGTAATTGCAGACACTGAGCCAGAGCTGCCTGTGGGCTCCACTGGTAGGAAGAGTGGGATAAGTTTCTCCTGTGGCCCAGGGATCTTCGTAATGCGGCACAGCACAGGCACACAGAATGGTGACCATCGCCAAATTTGCCTGTAACAAGAGTACTTCCTGCAGCAGGGCAGGCTGCTTTAATACACTGTGTAAACAGAGGATAATTTGCAGACCGCAAAAAGTTCACGAGCTTCCTCAAGTTACCTAGGGCATAGTAATATGGCTGTCAAAAGGGAAAAATAAAAAATCAAGCACTTCCCTACTCTAGTCACTCAGCCCCCAGATGAGATACCGTGATCCAGACTGCTGTTCCACATCTAACAGATACAAGGCGAGAACAAGATAAAACACTTTGTAAACAAAGGTATGTTTATTTTGTTAAAAAAAGTTACAATTGCACCAGAGGCTTCTTTGTAGTCAGAATGCCCTTCTCAAACAGGAGCGTGGCTAGAGAAATCCTGTCCTCCAGGGTTTCACAGGGAAGAGTATCCACACAGACATGGTTCGGATAGGAAGACAGGAGAAATTCGATACTGTCTGTATACTCAGGATCGATCTCAAGGAACTTGGGCTCCTCCTTGTGATACACTCTTGAATTTTCTGTCGTGTAATACAGCATCACACCTGCTTCTTCATTACACAATCTAATGATGCCGTGGCGGAGAAGACGTACTTCTGTGTCTTTTGTTATCAGAATATCGACATCACAGGGGCCTCCATCTTGCCACCGGGCTGGGAAGCCATAAACACTCTGTGCCTTCTCATTCTGCGTAAGCACCGGGGGGAGACAGTCATGAAGAAACGACTTGGCTCTCTGATCCACAGCAGCATCAATGGGTGCGTAGTCAACAAGTTTCTTTATCAGGCTCTGCACCTTTTCCATAAAGGCTGTTCGCCGAGCGTCAACTGCATCCGAGTTGGCGACTCCCATGTAACTCAGGTAGTCCATGGGAAGCCCTTGCCGGTACTCCACATCCTCCTCCAAGGCCATCTGCAGGGCAGCTGGGAGGAGCTTCTCCAGGAGGTCCCCCCAGGAGTTCCTCTGGTAAGAAGACACGGTGATGTGGAGCGAGTGAGCGTCGGGGAGACAGTCGCCCTGGTGGATAAAGCCGCGGGGGAAGTACAGCAGGTCGCCAGCCTCCAGCACTGTCTCCAGCACAGGCTCGCTGAGCTCCGCCTGCGTGAGGTTTGCGCTGGAGAACTGAGGCAGCACCTCGGCCTCCGTGCGGGGCTTGTAGACACGCCAGTGCTTCTTCCCCTCCAGCTGCAGCACAAAGGCCTCAATGTCGTCGTAGTGGGGGGCGAAGCCCTGCGTCCCCGGTGGCGTGAGGTAGGTGTTGGCCCCCGCCATGCTGCCAAAGTGCTCCTGCAGGATGGAGAGGAACTGCCAGACGGTGGG